TTTCGTATTCGTAAGCGATAAGTTGGCGGAAGAGATCACGCTTACAATCGGTCAAGCTTTCGATTTGGCATACAGGCGATTCTTAGAAACGTCTGGCAAGGATCTCGAAACCCAAAGACGTTGCATGGTATTGCAACAAAAGATCAAGAGATTGGAGCACGAGAACAATGTCTATCGACAACGGTTGCAAGACATTGCTGCTATCAAAGGCTCAGTCAGTATGCCAATTGATATTATTTTATTTTATTTTATTTTATTTTATTTTATTTTATTTTATTTTATTTTATTTTTTATTAAATTTTATTTAATATTAAAGAGTTTCTCTTAAATTCTATTAAAATAGTTAGTTTTGCGTACTTATGTAGGATCATCTTTCGTTCCTTTTTTTTATTTTTTTCGTTATTTTTTTTTTTTTCTTTTTTTATAGGCGGACGTGTCGACTTACCTCTTACAGCACGATCTTCCGGATATCCTGCATGTACCAGGAGCACCGAGCGAATCTCCGCAAGTCAACGGCACTACAAACAAGTCTCCTCTCATAGGAATAAACAGCGACAGTAACGGAAACACATCTAATGGTCCCCAGCAACCACCACCTGTTCCTCCTAGGAGTTTTGAAAAATCCTTTGATGACGATTTCATGGGGTCGGTTGTAAAAAACCGTTTGATATGATTAATGGACATTAAATGCATAACATATTTCAATAAATAATTTATAATTTTTTTTATTTATTCTTTTTTTTTGTTTTGTTTTATTTTTTTATTTTTTTTATTTATTTATTTTTTTTTTCATAACAGAAGCGAAGCAACACCAACGCCGGTTGTTGGTACTAAATTAGAGGGTCTCCTCATGGATGAGTTCGAAGAGGACTTTAATCCTCGTGCATACGAAACGGCAGCTAACGGTCTTGTTAATCATCAAACGAACAACAATCCTCTTCTCAATGGTCAACTGTCGTCTAATTCTAATCTATTTTCACAAACTAATGGCACTGCGAGTCCGCCACCATTATGTAAGTTCCTTGATTCTAACATTAATACATTGACTATCGTTATGTCGTCCGAATTCGAATGACAAGTAAATTGTCTAATGCCGCGTCATCCATATAAGAGTTACGGTTATGTATTGCCAGTTTACGAATGATTTAAGTTGGTATTTGAAAAGATGTCAATAGAATACAGTAGGACTAATATAATAATATATTATTATAAACAGTTTTATTGAAAAAAAAATTAATTCAAATGTAAAATTGTAAAAGATAGTGTATACAATTGATATTTCTAAGGAGAAGTTTGAGGATAAATTGTCGGTTTGTTAAATATTTTTTCTTACCTTTGATCGGACCACGAAGCGTGTTTTGTTAGCATAAGGATAGTGTGCTTAATATTCTATCTCTTATCACAAATATTTCTTCTGACTGCAATATTGTATTGATGACATAAATCATAACGAGATTGTCTTCTATCTATAGATTATTCTAATAATTTCTCAGTTAATAATTCTCCAAACAGTCTGATTTTCATATTCTTCTTTGTCTCTTATTTCTAAACCATCAAAGTATTTACAATCGAAATTCATCAATATAAATTTGTATCTCAAGTTTCCATGACCATTTTAATCAGTAATTTATCAAGTGATATTTTGAAAACTATTGAATCGATTTAAATACAATTTAAAGATATTTTATTAATAATATAAATTACATGCAAGGAAAGAAAATCATAAAATTGCTTGTTTTTTTGGACCTTTTAAGTGTGTATGTGATCTTTTTTAATACGTCTCACTGTGATTACATTGCGTCGTTTTCATTTTATTTATGTCAGGCGTGGCCTAATAGTATTTTATCAATATTTCGTGTGATTAATAGGATTATTTAGCATTTAATAGGATAGTTTAATAAATTTTAATATAAATTCGTATATCTTCAGTGGCACCGCCTCCAAAAGCTAAAGATTCGAGACGACAGAATGGAGTAAAAGAGGACCTTTTTGGCAGCGTGCCTTTCAATCCTGCACCGTCTATAAATACAAAGAACGACTTCAATGATCCCTTTGAAATGGGTGAATTTGGTGCTACCACCATAAACTCAAGTCCAAGCCAACAGGAATTGGAAAATGCCATCGGACTTTTGGATAAAAGATTGCTCGAAATGAAAGTTAGTAGTATTATTGTTTTATAAGAGAAATTAAAATATAATAAATTAGAAATATTTTGTTTCGATGTTTTATTTATATAAATTATTTTTTAGGATGGCTTCAGCAGAGGTTTATCTATCGGTACTGATGATTTTTCATTGGAGAGTTTAGATCCGTTAAGGAATTAAATCGAACGATCATTGATCATTAATTAAAATTTATAATGAAATTGATATGAAGAAGACGGAAAGGAAAAATTCTCTATCATGGTCTCTGTGGAGAGTAAAAAATCTGTGTGTGAAACCAAAATTAGTCAATTACTGTTACTATACGATACTCGTATATTTATGGTGATGTTTGATAT